CCCCCCCCAAGTCATTCATTTGTGAATGATGTTATTCGGAGTGATAGGGGTAGTGCACAAATAGGAGTGAAAGAAAATACAAGATAGATAAGTTACAAAGATAAAAATGGAAATCAGTACCACAAAAGTATGTATAGCCGTAGCGGATAATGAAATAAAGAGCCATAACAAGGAACAGTGGTTGGAGCCGTAATAAAAATAATGATCGGAGTCATAGTGGTCGAAGCCAAAGTAAAATATGTGAGATGGGGTCACTGTGGCGGTCGTCGAAGTGAAACGTGTGACACTGGGTCACTGTGGCCGGAGCCGAAGTAAAACGTGTGACACTGGGTCACTGTGACCGTAGCCGAAGTAAAAGGTGTGACACTGGGTCACTGTGACCGTAGCCGAAGTAAAAGGTGTGACACTGGGTCACTATGGCCGGAGCCGAAGCAAAATATGTGACACTGGGTCACTATGGCCGGAGCCGAAGCAAAATATGTGACACTGGGTCACTGTTGCCGGAGCCGAAGCAAAATATGTGACACTGGGTCACTATGGCCGGAGCCGAAGCAAAATATGTGACTGGGTCACTATGGCCGGAGCCGAAGTGAAACACTTTGCGCAAAATTTAAAATGGATAAAAGTGGGCAAGAGTGTTGAAATAGGCTTGAGTGGGCCCGTCTGAGAAGTCTGACAAAGAAGTGGTGCGCGACGCGACAGCTGTCCTCTGAATGACGTGCGTAATAAATGCCGCTGTAAAAAGATAAATGTAACAGCCCAACGGGCAGATGTAAAAAACGAACCGTCGAGTTCGAAACGGTACCGTTTGGGGTTAACCGTCGAATTCGAAACGGTGTCTTTGCAGCCGTTAGATGGGTTGATCACAGCCGTTGAGGCGTATTCTGCCTTTGGTATAAAAGGCTAGACTTCTGTAAAGAGGAATTTTTACTTTCGCGATTTTGCTTCAAAATTCCTGCTAAATTGCTACTAAATTTCTGCAGTTTCGTGCGGTTTGCGCTGCAATCAAGACTTCAACAACAGTTTCCAAGACCGAAATTAGGTAAAGTTTATGAATTTTTTACTTTGATTTTGTCGAAATGGTGCTCTCCTTTCTCCCTTTCTGTGGTTGATTTTGGGTTTTTTGGAGGAAATTAGGGTTGGGAGTGAGAATGTGTTGAGTGTATTGGAATTGTTAAGGGTCCTGATATCGTTCCTCCTCCCCCTTTATGCAGAAATTGAGATGTCTTCAGAAGAGGCCATGAGTGTAGTGGGGAGCGAAGTGATGCCCCTGAATTACGGTAGTATAGATTCGGAGAGCAGTCCGTCTCCAACTAGTTCGGAGAGGACGGTGGAGGAGAGGAGGGATCATAGGGTGGTAGAAGAGGAAGAAGATGAGATTCCCTCCAACATTTTGGAGGCTGGGAATAGGGTAGATGGGTGTTATGA